ATATATATATATAAACAAAATTAAAGTTGAGAAAAATTAAAAGAAATAAGGATGGCGGGAGAAGTTTGAAGGGCATTTAGTCTCAATAAAAATCCCTTTGAGTTCTGCCTTCTGGAGTCTTGAACTTGTGATTTTCCCTTCATCTGGCTAAAACACAGACGAGATGTATTCCACACGTTAACCTACTATTTTTCTACATTTATTAGTTGAGAAGCATTTTTGTCAAGTCCTGCGTGTTTCAAATAGAATTACCCACGATCTTCTTGTCTTTAGGACCCACACTTTGTAGAGATAATCACGTACATAACAGGGAGAAGAAAGTCACAAACTACTGCCCTGCTTCCTAAATTCCATCTAAGGAGGAGCTGTTTCATGGACTCAAAGGACCGAGGAGGTGCTACTCAAATGGTTGGATTTGCCATTATGTAGGATGAATACATTTAAAAATCTAGTGTATTAAAAAAAAATCTAGTATATGGCAAGGTGACTACAGCCAATAATACTATACTGTATAACGGGAATTTTCTGAGAACACCTTGGGCACTCTTACCACACACTTGCACACGAGGGAATGATGTGAGTAGATGGGTAATTAGTTTGACTGTAATAATTATGTCACTATGCATATGAGATCAAAACATCACGTTGGCGTTCCCTGTTGGCCCAGTTGGTTAAGCATCTGACTTTGGCTCAGGTCAGGATCTCATGGTTCGTGAGTTTGAGCCCCATGTCAGGCTCTCTGCGATCAGCATGGAGCCCACTTCAGATCCTCTGTACCCCCCTCGGTCTCTACACCTCCCCTGCTCACACTCTTTCTCTCAAATAAATAAATAAACATGAGAAAAACCATCGTGCTGTATACATTAAATATATATGAGTTTTATTTTTAAAAATGGAATTATACTGAAAATGTTAAATATGAAAATAGCATACAAATAAGCATTCAGATATGTAATATTTCTTTAATTTTTTAAATGTTTATTCATTTTTTGAGAGAGACAGAGTGCAAGTGGGGGAGGGGCAGAGAGAGAGGGACACAGAATCTGAAGCAGGCTCCAGGCTCTGAGCTGTCAGCACAGAGGCCAACACAGGGCTCAAACTTACAAATCCTGAGGTTATGACCTGAGCCA